AACGGAGAGTCTCCAGACTGATTAGCGAGTGAAATCTTGAAAGTTTGCGAGATCAGGATGGTCTCACGAGGCTAGCCTGTCTTTGCCTAGGGCCCAAAGTCTCCTAAATCCACCCCTTATTAGATGCATTTATATATGATTATTTTCTTTCAGCTTTGAGTTTTTTGGAGCCATCTTATCTATTGCTTGTCCCACATGCCAGTAATGTGATGTTCTCATCTAACCCCAATGCATGTTCATATCCAGTTAGCTTTGATTGTAGCTCTACTTCTCTGAACATATACTTGTGCTACTTAAATGTCTGAGAGTCAAAAGAAGCAAAAAAGTTGACTAGAAGAAGGGAAAGGCCTCTAAATAAAGAAATAAAGCAGGAGAGTATTTGGGAGATTTTTGCTCATGCCAGCGTTGCACATGGGCAGCTATTTAAAAAGCGACTTAGGTGTTTCTTGCCTAAATTTCTGGAAAAAACCATGTCCATCACAGACTTAATCAAATTTGGTTCTGCATAATATTAACATAAACATGCATTAATACATGCATGAAATGGGTTATGTTGTTATTCATCTCTAATTACCTAGAACACACCATTGCTGTCTTCCAGTCACGGGTGGTTCTAGACAGGGGCCAACGGGGGCCAGGGCCCCTGTAGATCAAGTCCTGGCCCCTGTACTGAAGACATACGGTAATACTCAAAGAAATTCTAACGATGATATGCGCTGAAACAGACATGGTTACTGATTGATCCTTTGGATCTATTTTATTTTTTTCTTTACAAATTCTGTTTTATTAACTGTTTAAAAACATAGCATAAGTCGTATTGAGATAGGGTCCCAGTTTTCATCTGCTAAATGTTTTTTTCAAAAACAAATGTAAAAAAAAAAATACTCTACTTTTTACAGCTAATTTTAACAGTTTTTCTTAAATTCTAATTCAGATTTTATAGAAAACTGTAATTGCAACTTAAATTAAGTTTAAAAAAAAAGTAAAATTCCTAAATTCTGAATGTATAATTGACCTATTAAGACATTTAGAATTTTAATGAAACCTAATTGAATAGAAATATCACATCATGCAGCTATCTTGATTTATTTGAATCCCTTGGCCTGTTTTTTTATTTCATGCTTTTCTGTGCCCCCATGAAAACACGCTGGCCCCCTCCTGGCCCCCCCTGGTCCATTTGGTCTAGAACCGCCACTGCTTCCAGTGGCACTTACCTTTCTCCTCTCTCTCTTAAAACACCAAATCTACGAAGCTCTAATAAGAATATAAATTCAACGTGTGTCATCTTTAATGATTAATGTTGGTATATAAGTGTAAAACAATAATTTCAGTTTTCAGTTTTTTGTTAATATACTCACACTTAGAATGTTAAATTTGATCGGACATGCCAGTTGAGAGTAGCACTGCTGCCACCCTCTGGTTTAGAGGTGAACAGCTTGTTCTGAAGTTGGTGAATGACATCGACATTGGAAAAAGTCACCTGGTACGGGCGACTGCAAGGCAAGTTCATTTATATAGCACTAATTCAGTACAGCGACAATCATGGATAAACAGTCAAATAAGGGGAAAGTAAAAGCAGAATAAAAGCAAGTTAAGACAGTTGGACAACAACAGTCAAAGGCAGCTCTAAACAAACAGGTTTTTAACTTTGTTTTCAAAGAACTCAGGCTTTCAGCTCTTTTCTAGACTTCTGGGAGTTTGTTCCAGATCAGCGAAGCAGAGGAACTAAATGCTGCTTCTACATGTTTGGTTCTAGTTCTGGGTGGACAGAGTAGGCTGGAACTAGAAGACCTGATCTGGTCTGGGAGGTTGATCCCCTGACAACAGATCTGTTATGAATCGAGGTGCTGATCTATTCAGTGATTTATACACTGCAAAAAATCTAAATCTAGATAAGTCATTTTTTCGTAAAATA